ACCTAAACTGTATACCTTACATTATTGACAATCATCATATCTGTTTAAAGTAGCGAGACAAAAGACTTTCTAAACTATTGGTGGAATGATGAATCAGGCAGTGATGGGGGAAAGAAAATCTGACCATTATATCCACATGTATTTCAGCACTTCTCACTATAAATTCAGCTTGTTTACCCCATACAAAATCTAAGCCTGTGATATGTTAATTTTAGGATTTTATTATTAATAGCTTATCCCTTATTTGGCACATCTGTTCTTTCTGCCTATTGAATCTAATTATTTTCCAATCATACATTCCTCTTTAGCACACAAAGAACTTAGCCCTTCTGATCATTCAGGAACTCTTAATGGAGATGCATGGAAAAAAGAATACAAGTGACTATAGAGCACTGATAGAGGACTCACTGTGTGCTGGACACTTTCTTGAGCACTTTACATATATTAACTCATGTGTTCCACACAGTCAATAGGAAGTAGATAGTAAAACCATATCCATTTGAGAGTCAAGGAACCCAAAGCACAGAGTGAAATAAATTAACGGTGGTCACTCAGATAACAGAGGGTGGAATCAGGATCCAAATAAAGCCAGTATGTCTTCAGAATACATTTTTATAAACACAGTGTTTTCTTTTTATTAATATCACCTCAAATAAATAGAAAATAACAAAGTGACACAAAAGGGACACTTTGTAACTATAGACAAAAACCCTTGCTACAAGAGATGACCGAAATGGTAAGTTCATCTGAAAGCTAAGGTGGTCTAAATGTACATGTCCTACACATTAATTCTATTAATGACACAAAATGTATATCACTAAGAAAAACAGTTTTGTAGCACATAATGCTCTTCAAGATCTTTGGTTTAAGCTGTCTACCCTCAGAAATTTTCAAACCAGTGTTTTTTACTCACCTGAGTGGAGAATTTGATTTCCTACTTTTTAAATCCTCATCAGTCGTTGGAGAATGTATTTAAGTGTTCTACCCTCTTGACACTCATTTGGTTGAAGTTTTAATCTGCTTAAAGAATAACTAATATTGCAAATATTGCATAATGTTACCCAAGGGAGAGAGCGCTCTAGTTTCTGTTAATTATTCTGGGAATGGTCCATTAAGAAAAGTCAAAAATATTTCTTGTGTGAGTCTAACTGAAAAATAAGTTATGCAATATCACTAAACACCGGAATTATAAATATGTCTTTGTCAGTATCTCAGTTGCACAATATCATGCACATATTAGCTACATTTACCTACATATACACACAATGTGTGAGGAAATGAAATAGATGTCTTAGAAAAGATTATGCAACATTTGATTGGCATAAACCAATGTTTTATGACTTTATTATGGCTGCCAATAAAGCAGTACTAAAATTTTTCTTCATCTGTTTATAAGGTTTATTTCATTTTTATCCGTTTATTCGTTTTTTAATGATTTCTCTTTATCCTTGGTTTTCAAAAATTTAATTATGATATATTTGGTTTAATTTCCTTTCTGTTTATTTTGCTTAGAGTTATATTAGCTTCTTATATTTTTAGGATTATAGGATTTAAAAAAATAAATTTGGAAGAAATTTTGGCCAACATTTCTTCCAATGGTTTTTGCCCAATATAGTCTATTCTTCCAGATTGGCCCCAAATTTAAATGTACAGTATGTAGCTTATTACTGTTCTGCAGACCACTTGGACAATTATCATGGTGTTTGTTTGGTATTTTGTTTTCTCTCTGGCTTCATTTTGGGTAGTTTCTACTGAGGTGTGTTTAAGCGTAGTTATCATTTTTTTTCTCTGTATAATATGCTATTACTTTCATTCAATAACTATTTGTTCATATCTAATATGGTGTTTTAATCTCTGGGGCTCCCAGGAGGTTAGTGTTGTTATTAAACCACTCAGTTATACTAAACATTGTTTTGTACTGGTCTCAGCCCATCAATACACAATGTTGTGGATGGACCAGCCCTTGTAATTATTATTACTGTGCGATGCTCTTTAGCCATAACCATCAGGAAACTTTACAAAGGTATAGGTTTATGACTTACAAGTCCTGGAAATTACATAGCACATCTGGGGCCAAACATCAAGGTTGCAGGTGGAAAGGGAGAACTCCTAGGGTCTGGGATTCAGCTTTTATGGTACTCTAGGGTAGGAATATAGGGTTTTCTGGCCTACTCCTCATTGGTTAATTTAAAACATAAGAGTGGAAATTTAAAGCACTGGAAGAGAAAACAGCATGTAGCCCAAATTGCCAGTTATTGAAATCAAGCAAGATCTGCAAAACAAAGGAGCTTCAATGGCAGGAGGCATCCCGACTCTTTAACTAATTGTGTGGCTGGCAATATATTTATTCAAAATAGCAGTCTTTTTCACCCAGATCCCCAAAATCCCTCACTGCTGGCAACCACTAGTCTATTCTCTGTATTTATGAGCCTGCTTCTATTTCATTTGTTCATTTCTTTTTCTCTTTAGAATCCACATATAAGTAAAATCATCTGGTATTTCTCTTTCTCTATCAGACATTTTACTTAGTTTAGCATAATACCTTCTAGGTCCATCCATGCCATCAAAAATGGTAAGATTTTCATTCTTTTATGGCTAAGTAATAGTCCATTGTATATATATAGTACCACCAATTTTTTAATCACTCATCTATTGATGGGCAGTGGGGTTGATTCCATCACTTGGCTATTGTAAATAATGCTGCAATGAACACAGGGGTGCACATATACTTTCAAATTACTACTTGGGATTCCTTCAAATATACACCCAGAAGTAGAAATGCTGAGTCATAAGGCAGTTCCATTTTTAATTTTTTGAGAAATCTCCATCCTGTTTTCCATAGTGGCTGCATCAATCTGCATTCCCAACAGTGCACAGGGGTTCCCTGAACAAGGTGAAATTAAGAAGTACAAATTGGTACTAAGAAAAGAGTCACAGTGATGGAAACTCAGCGTTAAGAATTAGTCAATAATTGTAACAGTTATGTAGGTACTTGAAATACTGGGGTGACCACTTTGTAAAGCATATGATTATCTAACTGCTATGCTCTACACCTGAAACTAATAAAAAATGTTGAATGTAAACTGTAATTGAAAACATAAGAGCAGTCTTTGAAGAGGACACCTCTTTGAAATTGATGCCTGGGCATCCAAAACTCAAGTCCAGAACTTACATTACAAAATGAAGATAAAAAGCAAATACTAATGTCAGGGCTTACACTACAAACACATACACACACATATATGTTTAAAGTCTGTCTGATAATTCTACTCATCACTGTTATTTCAAGATCTATGTTAATCATCTTTTTTTTAACAAGGATCAGATGGCTCTTTCTTGAGGCTTATTTACGAACTCTGTGAGTAGCAGTCCTAAGTAACTTTTATTTCCAAGGTCTCTACCAGGTGCCCTGGTTTTGAACAAGGACTCTGTTCTCTGGATTTTGGAACTGTAATGTCTTCCTGCCCTGTGCGACCTCTGAACTGTTCAGCTTACAAGTCCCTCATCATTCTTTTAACAGCCTTGTGGATTTTGACTGTAGGCATTCCCAGTTTAGTGTTCAGCTACGAACTCAAGGAGACCTTTAATGGAGGAAAGGACGAGCAACAAGAGAATGAGATGATGTGTGGGGAACAAAGAGCAACATGCCGGAAGTATGTCATCATTATCTGTAATTACTTTGAATGTACATGAATTAAATTATCCAGAAGTAGAGATTGGCAGAATAGGTTTTTTTAAAAAATCATAATCCAACTATATGCTGTCTGTGAGAGACTTACTTTATTTTACTTTATTTATTGTTGTTCAAGTACAGTTGTCTCCATTTCCCCCCATCACTTCTCCAACCCCACCCATCCCCACCTTCCAGCCTTGATTCTACCCCCCCGCTCTTTGGCTCTGTCCATATGTCCTTTATACATGTTCCTTGATGATCCTTCCCTCTTCACCCCTGTTACCTCCATTTCCCTCTGGTTACTGTCACTTTGTTCTTTATTTTAATGTCTGTGGTTATATTTTGCTTGCTCATTTGTTTTGCTGAGGTTCCACTTATAGGGGAGATCATATGGTATTTGTCTTTCACTGCCTGGCTTATTTCGCTTAGCATAATGTTCTACATAACACTGAAGAAAGAAATTAAGGAAGACACAAAGGGAAGCATATACTGTACTCATGGATTAGAAGAATTAACATCAACAAAATGTCCACACTACCCAAAGCAATTTATAGATCTAACTCAATCCCTATTAAAATACCAATGATATATTTCACAGATACAGAAAAATACTTCAAAAATTTATAAGGAGCCACAAACAACCACAAATAGCTGCAGCAATTTTGAGAAAGAAGAACAAGTAGGAGGGGCCACAATGCCTGAAAAAACTATATTACAAGGCCATGGTAGTCAAAACAATCTGGTACCGGCATAAGAACAGACACATAGATCATGAAACAGAATAGAGAGTCTAGAAATAAACCCAAGTCTCTATGGTCTATGAATATTTGCCAAATGGTGAAGAAGCATACAATGGAATAAAAAATAGGCTCTTGAAAAAATGTTGTTGCAAGATCTGGACAGCTATATGCAAAAAAAGAAGAGAGAATTACTTTATTTACACTGTTATATTAGATTCAGAAAACAAAATAAAAACAAAATTGAAAAAATCCTTGAGCTAAAAAATAATAGCAATTAAAAGACAGAAACAAACATATAGTTTACTGAGGTAGAATTTAGTGTTTCAACTGAGAGAAATGTCAGGTTCTATGATTTTATTAGAAGAAATGTTGAATTAAAAACAAGAAATGTTAAGGAAGAAGTATCATTTAATTGAGATCTGAAGTAAGAGGATTAATTTTGCTGAATATTAGGGAAAAGTCTACTTATACATTATAATTAGTTTTTGCTCTGGAATCAAAAGAATATAATTACACATATTAGGAATATTTTGACATTTGCCTTTATCAGAGTTTGTTAGAACAATATTCCATATTGAATATTAAATTCAAAGATTGCACTGATTCTTAAAGACCCTATGGAAGGCTTTTTTTACCTCTTTGTTCCTTAAGCTGTATATCAAGGGATTAAGCATAGGGATCACTAAAGTGTAAAACACAGAGGCCATTTTATCACTATCAAAGGAGCGAGTAGATTTGGGCTGTGTGTACATAAATAGTAGAGAGCTATAGAATATAACCACCACAGTCAGATGAGAACCACATGTGGAAAAAGCCTTTTTCCTGCCCTCTGCAGAATGCATTTGAAATATGGCTCTCAGAATCATAATGTATGATACCAAAACTACCAGCAGGGAAGAAAGCAAATTAAATGCTGAAAATAGTATAATTAGCAATTCTATTTCTTGGGCATTTGAACAGAGCAAAAGTAACAAGGGAACATCATCACAATAGAAATGATTTATGATATTAGAGCCACAAAAGGTCAACGTAAAAATCTTAATAGTGAACATTAGAGCCTGAAAGCTACTATAGAGGTAAGGAATGCCCACCAGCATATGACAACGTCTCTTGGACATAATGACATTGTAGAGCAAAGGGTTGCAAATGGCTGAATAGCGGTCATAGGCCATGGCTGACAAGATGAAAAATTCACTGATAATAAACATAAGGAAGAAAGCCAACTGTGTGGCACATGCATAATATGAAATGATATTTTGATCCAGAACAAAATTTGCCAGCATCTTGGGACAAATGACAGTAGAATTACCAAGATCGATGAAAGCCAGGTGTTTGATAAAAAAATACATAGGTGTGTGTAGGCGGGAGTCCACATGGGTTAAGATGATCATGCCCAGGTTGCCTACCACTGTGACTGTGTAGAGAATGAGGAAGACCATGAAAAGTGGCATCTGCAGCTCAGGCTGCCTTGTGACTCCCATCAGAATAAATTCAGTCAATGATGTTAAATTCTGTTGGCCCATCTAGTCCAGTTGGCTCTTCTGGAAAGAAACAGAGGGGTTGTTATTAGCTTCCATGTACCATCATTAAACAAATTACAATCTTTGCAGACACATTGAAAAGTACATTTTTATAATAGGGGATAGAAAATAATTCTCACATCTGATTTTAAAATTAAAATAAGTGATAGAATTTTTAGCTTCTCAAGAGAAAAGATCCACAGGTAACACGTGAAGTGTGACAGGTTAAACTCTCACTAGAGTCAACAACATCTGGAACATATCCACTGATTTTTTAAAAGCCATGAAATATTAGATATATTTATTTAATCTACATAATAACATCACAACTTTAGTACACTTACATTTCTATCCGAGAATCCTTGTGAATATTTGATTTTCTAAATGAGAGAGGCAGGGATAACATGAAGTGACTGAAGTTTAAGATTTTAGGTCCCTCATTTGCACTTTTAAGACCTAGGTGGGGCCTTAACAATACACTCACAAAGTGATTTATTTTTGTCAAAGTTGCACATGTAAGATATTTAACCTCAACCAAGCCCAATTTCTCTTTGCATTCTAACTTTACTCCACATTCAACTAATATTGTAGTTGATATCAACTAATATTAACTATGCTTGACATGCATACAAACATTTGTGGTGTCCAGCTAAAGAGACATTGAGTTAATAGTACTTTATTTGATGTGTAGTGGGTGTATTTGCAAGAGTTAAATGTATCATTGAGTAATGCTATCCACTCTGATGTTGTAATGGCTTCTAAGAACTCTCTCACCACCCAAAATGCTGAGATGTGTCTGGAATTTTACTAATACAAATAATATATTTATAATTTTATGATGTATGTGACTACTTGTTCACTGACCACTGAAATTTTTAAAACTCTTCTTTTATTCTAATAATTATTCATATTTATGCCTTAATATACATGTATAACTTTTATTCTTTTTTTAAGAAGAAAATCCTTAAATTGATATAAATTCTAAGAGGCACAAGACCTGGATCTATTTCTGCTAAAATACATGGTTTATATAAATATTTAGGCATTTTGAATATTTAATTTTATATACTTCCTTTAATATGCTATGTATAAGCATTCATTAATTTCTCCATTGTGAATATGATGAAGTTTGTAAAGCATTTAAAATATTTATTTGAGCATTTATCATATCTCATATTACTGTTAATTTATTTCTTGAATTGTACAATGGAGTATACAGAATATAACACTGTGATTTTCAAATATTTCAGTGATAAGTACTGACCTCTTCATTTCATAAAATTTACGTGGGAAGTCAGTAAAACAAAGCAAAACTGTTCTGACTGAAGATAGAGAAGCTGCTTTAGCTCAATCCACTCATATTCCTTACCTCTCACGTTGAGTTTCCCTTCAGTGAAAATCTGGAACTCTGTAAGTGTGATTCTCAATGGAGGAGTAATTGGAGTTTAAAATATTCAGCCAGTTAAAATACAAAATAGAATTGTGTGATGAAATGCTCAGCTTTAGACTGAACAACTCTCTGGTTCAAAACTTGTGGGAGCCCAGCAGAAGGTCCAAACCTACAGTCTAGAGCAGCTGAGTCAGGAACTCCTTATGGCTATTGGCAGAATTCTAGGAATCTGTAATTTTGGGGTGTCCATTTAGCCAATCTGATTCAAGGAACAATGAATAGGAGGGACAGGGGGAGGTGACTGAGAAGATTCCTGAGTCACATCTGTCCCTCTTTCCTGGATGAGTTGTCTGCCGTTTCTCCACTGAGCCCGCTCTGCTTTCAAGTTCTTCCCTCCTTCACAAGTGAGAACAAGTGCTGCAGGGCCTGCTCACCTGGTTTTTCTGCAGATGAGCTGGGTTAAGCAAAGAAATTCAGAATTCTAGTGCCATGTTGAAGTCTTCGATGATTTGCTAAGTGTTGTGGATATAAAGGGGCCGCCTGATAAGCCTAATGACCTCAGGGAGGCCTGCGTGACGGGCATTGCAAACTTCGAGGGGGAAAACGGGGCAAAGAAAGGGAAGGGTCATCCAGGAACATATATGAAGGCCCCATGGACAAACACAAGGAGGAGAGGACTGAATGTGGGACGTGGGGGTGGGTAGGGCGGGAGAGAGTAATGGGGGGAAAATGGGGACAACTGTAATCGAACAACAATAAAAAAGTTTTCATTGAAAAAGTCATTTGATAGCTGTATAAAAATTCTTTTAAACAACAACAACAACAACACCCTTCTGAAGCAGGAGACAGCACAGGAAGAACTCTGAGACTGCAATACTGTTACTGGCCAGTATTTAGCCCCCTTGGTTGCCAGGTAAAACACCTTTTACCAATTAGGTAGAATAAATAGTAAACTGAGGCAGGGAGGAGGAAGGAGACAAGTCTCACATGCTAACTCAGCAGTTCTGAGCCTAGTCTGATAATCTTGCCAGGTGTTCAATATCACAAGAAACACTATATTGAAAGAAAGAAAGAAAGAAAGAAAGAAAGAAGGAAGGAAGGAAGGAAGGAAGGAAGGAAGGAAGGAAGGAAGGAAGGAAGGAAGGAAGGAAGGAAAGAAAGAAAGAAAGAAAGAAAGAAAGAAAGAAAGAAAGAAAGAAAGAAAGAAAGAAAGAAAGAAAGAAAGAAAGAAAGAAAGGAAAGTCCTTGAAATTCTATGTAACATTTCCACTATCTGGGAAAGAAAGCCTTGAAACTGTGCTTTCATCCCAAGTCCTGAATGTGGGAGAGGGTCCCCAGTGCTCAAAGAAAGAGCCCATAAAACAACTTTGGTGAATTGCCTACCTCTGGTCACTGTCTGTTTTATGAGGGAGTCCCTGATGCTTGCAGAAAAAGCCCATAAATAACTTTGGAAAGTGCCCCAATTTTAATTAACTGCCCCCTGTCACGTATCTGTTTTACAACAAGATGACCAAATGGAGTCTGGAGCAAGATAAGGATTTGGACTAACAGATCCCCACACATACCTGAGTTTGGGTAGTCGCATCCTCCCAGGAAAGCTGGCACCACCTTCACCCATTAATCAATATGTAACTTTTTTCCCTTGTATCCCACCAACTATGTAAGTCCTGGGAACAAAGGACTAGCTCTCTCTCTCTGTTGCGGGGCTCAGGGTGCTCTTGGCTCTCGGGCCACAGGGCCTCTGGCCACCTGGCCTCAGGCTGCTCAGGGGCTTGCCACCTGGTCTTCAGCCGTTCTTGCTTTTCTCACCCTATTTTGCCCTGAAACTTTGCCTTTCACCCTCTACTTTCCCCAGTCCTGTTCTCTTCCATGGAAGCAGACCACTAATAAACTGAGTACATACTACTAGATTTGCTGATATGTAATTCTTCACATGTGTCAGCAAGAAGAACCAGAGCTCTCCCGTCAACACTTCCAGACCTAAAGTAACCTCATAGAATGCTCTGAAGTTAAAAACTTCTAACAAAAAGCAGGTCATAGCAAGCAGTCATGCCCTAGGCTGGAAAATTCCCTGACAAAAGTCAGTCTTTACCTTAATTGAGCCTGTCTGATGTCTTTTTGCATCTGAAATAACATATACCTTTGCAATGTCAAATTTCCTTTTTCTGGACTCCTCAAAGCATACACACCATACCAGAGGTAGATCACAAATCCTGTCTTTGTTATTGTTATTATGTTAGTAATTGAGTGTTAACTATTCTCTACCCACTTGTGTAAAAGAAGTTTGTGTCTATCTCTTAATTTTTTGTCCAGTCCCAGAGGTTTCCTCACTTTGTTTTTTTCTGCCTCTCTAATCTATCACCAGTGGATTTCATGCAGCCCACTTATGTCTTCTCTTTTGATTGTAATGTATGAAATAAAGTGCAAAACTGCCATTTTCCAGAGCATTTTCTCAATCATTTGAGGTTTTGCTTCTTGGCAATTGTCATTAGTTTGCTGGAATAAACTCATAAAAATTCATACATGTTTGAAAGTATCTTACATTGACATAATTATTCTAGTGTTTGTTTCATTTACTTACATTTTTTAGTGTCAGTTATTACCTCTCTCAGAAAACATCTAATTTTTTTTACTTTGTTCATTCTTTGTTTGTTAAAATTCACCTTTTCATTTTAATGTGGTAAGAATGCTTAATATGAAATATACTCTGTTAAAGATTTTTAATGTACAATACAGTCAGTTTGTAAAGCCTATTCTGAACAAACAAACCAAGTAGTAACCAGCCTTGGGAAAAAAAACAAATAACTAAAAAATATTGGGAGTTTATCTATATATATAAGATATGTATATCCTTATATTAATATTATTTGTGGTTTATAAAATATTACATGAGTAATACATGTATTAAATGCTTTTTGTCAAAAATCACATTGAATATATTTATTATATATAATATTTTTCAAATAATATATACCATATATTAAAATGATTTATTTACCTGAAATGCAAATGTAATTCGGAATCCTGTTTTTATTTGGAAACCCTAACTTTAATAAATTCTAATAGATGAGGTTAGTGATGATTTTTTATGATATCAATAACTCTGTTCACTTGCAACATCCAAATGCCACTATCAGCTTTCACAAATAAAATAGATCTATGAATCTAGTCAACTCATAAGATTTAGTGCCCTAAAAATGCCATTCGATGCCAGGGAATTCCAGCTAACAAAGAAGAAAATGAATTGTTGCAGTAGTTTAGTGTCAGCTGTCAGTAGCTATAAGCATGTCCATAATCGGAAGCCAGGAATCATGGAAAATTACCAACACCCAGGTGATAATCAAAACACAAATCCTATACACTGACCTTTAATGAAAAATTGGATTTTCTTCTCCTAAATTACTTTTACTTCAAGTAGGGTGAATTTATGCTTCTTGTCCTTCTTTGAGATACTCCCTGAAGAAGTGGCATATAATTCATGCTCAGGTCACCTGAGAGATTTTTAGAATGTTGCCTCATGGTGCCTGCTGATTACCCAGGGCACCCTGCACATTCCCTGGTGAGAACATGTGAGGGACAAATTCAAGGAAAGCAACTAAACAACATAAATGAT